GACTATCATTTAATGCCAGTTAACACATTGTTTCATGGTAGACGATAATCATTGGTCAACTAAAGTTTGACTCTTTTTGTGTGGTAGAGATTGTAGCATCCAAGTTGTCAACAGAAGGTTTCCACAGTGAGAGGGTAATTTTTGATGAAAATTGGACCGAGCTATGAAATAGATTTTATGGTCCCAAAGTACGAAGGACCAGGTAAAATGGGCCGAGAAGTTACTCCGGCCCATGGGAAATAAAGTTACTTCGGTCAAAAGAGGTGAAGTTACTTCGGCTCAGGAATTGTAAAGCTATTTCGGTTTGGACAACTTGAGTTAGTCCGGTCTCCGAGTTAGTCCGGTCATGACGTATTCTGGATAGAACGGTCAAAACCTTGTTACTCGGTAGCTCGGTCCCAACATATCATGGTTCATGCATGGGAGAACCGAGATGAGGAGTGAAAGGAAGGGCTGAACTAAGGATAGTTCGGCCTACCTCGTGGCTCAGCTTAGCCAGTTTACTTCGGTTAGATAGTAGTTCGGCCGTAGTTAAAACCATCCCACTTGGTTTAAGTAGTGGGGGTGTAAAAGGATAAGCATTATCCTTTAGGAGTATGAATCCTAGGAGGACTCTGCATGGAGAAATAAAAGTCCTACTAGGATTGTGCCACTCGAAACCTATAAAAGCTCACAAGCATCACCTTGGAGGAGGTAACATAACACAACATACAATCTTGCTTCCTGAATACATTGAGCTTTGTCTATTTGTCAAGTTTTCTGACTTAGGCATCAGAGAGGTTTCCGGCACACACCTGCCGGCTAGCTCACATTTGTGTTTTCAGGTGACAAAGCGACGTCGTACGGAGGAGCGTGGACTTAGTCAACAGGATTATACGAGGAGAATTATTTCTTCCCCGTACACACAGTATTCTATTATACTATGTTATACTTAATTGACCGATTTATGGTCGAATATGTAATAAAATTGGTCTATTGGCCATTTTATAGAATATAAAAAAATTGGGGTACTATTTAGATAAGTTAAAAAAACATTTGGAGACCCTACGAGACAAAGAAACCTCTATTAATGTATGTACACTGTAGAATGACATGTTTGCAGTGGAGAATTTAATGAAAAGCGACAACACAAAGCCATTTATGTTTCCGCCAACTCATGCTTTACATGACTTTTGGGTGTTTGGTGGAATTTTTTTGAGTTTTGAATTTTAAAAAATTATTTTAGACTGTTTGGTTAAATTTATTTCAAATAACTTTTGATTCTAACAACTTATTTTAAGTCAAAAAAGCAGATTCTGAGAAGCTGCTCATCCCTTACTTCTGATTATCAACTTCTGCCGTGGACATATTAATTCACGGTTATACTCTTAAATTTTTTTATTTTTTATTTTTTTAAAAATAGAAAAAGACCTAAATGGACTATAAAATATTATTATTATTTTTTATGAGAAATGTAGACAAATAGTGAATAATAAAAAATAAAAATTAATTGAAAAAGCTACTTCACAGCTTATTTAACAAACACTACTCAGCAACTTAAATCTATAATCCAACAGTTATACCAAACAGATTAATAACTTCTGATTAAAATTATAATCTATAATTTATTAAGCTATAATTTATAATCTGTTTTAATAATTACACCAAACAACACCTTTGTACCACCACTTTCCATTGCTTTTATTTTGGAGATGTTGTGGATGATGATTGTTCCTCTTTCTTCATCAAACTATGAAAAACATTTGCAGAGATAAATAATAGTAATTAATAAAAGCATCTGAAACTGAGTCAAAACACAATATTTATGATTAAACCAACATATATCAAAATAATAAGGAAAATGTTTGAGAGGTTTAGAAAATGAGTTCTAATAATTTTAATGTGTGTGTAGACCCTATTTGATATGATGTTTTGGTTTTGTGTTTTTTTTTTTTTTTGGTTTCATTACCGACGGGTCAGTACCGTCGCTAAAGTCTAGTATTTGCGACAGGTGCAGTTACCGTCGCAAAAAATTGTTTTTTGCGACGGGGGGCGCGGCGTCGCTAAAACTCCGTGTTATTTGCTATGTTTTCCTGTAGTGTATGTTAAAGTTAAATTCAAATAATATGAATTTTCCATGACTAATTCGTTTCATTTAATTGTTATATAAATACTGATCTCACTCTATTTAATTACGCAAGCACACACATGTTTTTTTATTTAAATTTTTTTAGTTTTATTGAACAGTTTTTTTTTTTTGTTTTTTTGTTTTTTGGGAAAAAGATATAAGTAGTTCAACAACTATTTTCAACTCAGTCCAGTTGAACTCAAGTTCACCCAATAACTAATCCTTTTAGACACTTGAAATTAAGAACCAAAAAAATCTCTAAAAACTCTTTCAATAATGACTCAAATTCAAAATTTTAAATTTTTATTTAACCTCCATTGCTATGTTTAAAAAATCTGTACAAATAAAAATAATAATAAAATTAAGTACTCCTACTGCTATATTTGGGGTAACAAAAGAGCGTATCATGATTAATTGATCTGAATTAATGTTAAGATATTTGACATAATTAATTAAATAGATCAAATTAATATGATGAGAATTCAAATAGTATAAGGGATTATTTGGAATGATCTAAATAAGTGTACTTTTTAACTTTTTATGAAATATGAGTTGAGTTTGAGTTGGGTTTGAAGTGATATGTTAGAGAAGCGATGTGACTTAAATAAGATAATGTGACTTAAATAGAATAATTACTTTTTAACTTTTTTCAAACACGTAAAACAAACCCTAAATTTTAGATGAATCTACGTAACACAATTTCCATTCTATTGACGCAAAGAACATCATGGGGTGCATGGATTTGACATTACACAGAACTTATTCTTATTAGTGCCAGTAAAAGTAACAACTATACTGCAGACTCCCAGTGAAGTGGCGAGTACTCACTGGCTGGAACTCAATAAATAAATAAATAAATAAATAAAACAGTTTTTTTTTTGTCCAATCACGGCGCGCCACCTCACTGAGGGTCGACCCCCAGTGGGGGTCCGAACCATTTTTCGTAAAAGAAATTTGATTTGAAAACAGGAGTCATGCTAGAGAGCACTAATTTGGTGGCTCTAAACCCATTAATGAGATAAGAAAGCGAAAAAAAAAAAAAAAAATAGACACAACACATACTGTGGCAGTGGGTGGAACCAGGGCCGGCCCTGACCTAAGGCAGGTAAGGCTTGTGCCTTAGGCCCCAAAAAAAGGGCTCTCAAATTTAATAAATTGTTATAGGCCCAACCCTTTTTAAATTTTTTTTTTTATATTTTAAGATCAATTTAAAGGGTCCCAAAATGTTTTATTGGGCCCATGTAAAATTTAGCCCATATTTATTAATATGAAAACATATAAAAAAACAAAAAAAGAAGAAGTGTTTGGACCCAACCCAAACCATACATACACTATATACAACATCACTTTCACTTCAGTGCACTGTTTTGCTTTCAATCTCTCTGTCTCTTTATCTTTAACGAAGTAATGAAATGAAGATCACGACAATATGTACCAAGTTCAAGGTAAGGCAGACGCAGAGCACAGCATTGTTGTGAACGACTCACTCTCTCTTTTTCACTCACTCCTCCGACGACTCACTCTCTCTCACACACTCTCTCTCATGGTAAATCCTCTCTCTCACTATCAGATTTTATTAAATAAAGTTGCCATAATTTTTTTTCTACATTCTTTCTCTATTAGTTAGTGGAATAATAAATTTGCCCTAATTTTTTTTACCTTCTTTATCCATTAGATTTTAGTGGAATAAATAATTTAGCCCTAATTTTTTTGCCTAGGTATTTATTAGTTTTAATTGAATAAATTTTTTGTCCTAATTTTGTTTCATTAAATTTTTTTTTTATATAATTTATTTGCTATCAGATCAGTGGATTGTGATTTGTGGATTGAAGTGTTTGTGATTTGTGGATTGATTTGCAGTGTTTGTGATTTGTGGATTGAAGTATTTGGGATTATAGCCATGTTTCCTAGGAAGTATTGTTCTGGAAATGAAAAGAGAAAGAAGATGATGAAGGTAGAACAATTAATTCAAGTATATGAAAGTAAATTTTAGTTTATAATTTTAATGATTATATGTTTAAGTATACTTAAATAAAAAATTTATGGGTCATGCTTAAGTGTGCAACCCCCTTAAGGTTGCACACCATATGCAACCCAATTGTTAGCCGTTAGATTACAATAATTGATCAAGACCATTGAATTGTTTAATCGTGAAAAAGTTGAAACCGGGGCAACCGGTTAATGCTTGTATTTGCATGATTGCATCCCACTCAGTCTCTGTATTTCGTCTCTATCTCTCTCTGCTCTCCTCTCTGTGTAAGGTTGAGTCAGTGTAACCGTTGATTTCCATTAACAGGGAGAAGCCCCTGTTGGGTTCGTTCCATTGACGAAGCTCTGTAGGGAACAGTATAACGGGCGATTTCCAACAACAACGTAACTAGAAGGCTGTGTTGGTTCCATTGCTGAAGTGAAGCCCTTCTCTCGAACTAGATATGAGGTATGGAGCTGTGTCCCTCTCTCTGTCTCCCTCTCTGTCTCTCTGGCCCGTTCACTTCAGCTATTTTCCCTCAACTAAACCCCCATCCTAACTTCAACCGCTCTACGCATCGCTCCAACGGAAACCCCTCCATTGGCAGCTAACCTTTCTCTTTCTCTTTCTCAAGCGAGTGTTTGTGTTTGCACAAACAGGTAAACCGTGTGAAAATGTCATATTTGTGTTTGTGTTTGTGTTAACAATTTTCGGTCATCAAGTAATTGTTGGTAGTAATGTCATGTGCAGTATGGCCCCAGCGGAAGTTAAAAGGGAAGGTGATGATTATGAAATTCCAAATGAAGCAAATGACATTCGTTTGATGAATAAAAGTCAGGCGGAACCTTACCATGGTTGTGAAGGTGGTCCGACCAATGAAGAAGCAACCACGTTGAAGATGGTAGAGCCGATGTGAAAAAAGAAATGGTTGACGATGCTCATCGCAATGACATGGTTGGTGATGTTGAACGTGCTATTCTGGAACAGAAATTTGATTCGGTCAAAGATGGAGAAGATTTCTACAATGCGTATGCTAAAGCCAAGGGATTTAGTATACGAAAATCCAGATTTAACACAAATAAAGAGGGAAAGGTCATTAGTAGGCTGTGGTTGTGTTCAAGGGAAGGTCAGAGATTACCAAAATACTTGGACCGTGTTGCTGAGAAGAGTAGAGCTCCCAAGGCACTAACAAGAGTAGATTGCAAAGCCCAATTTCGCATACGGTACGATGCAGATGCTGGTGAAGGGGGAAAGTATGTTGTGACTCACTTCGTCGCAGACCACAACCATGAATTGGCGGAACAACACTGTGTGATGTATCTGAGGTCACATCACAGTTTAAACAGCGGTGACAAAGCTCAAGCAATGGCTATGCGCAATGTCGGTGTGAAGACTAGCCAAATCATGGACTATATGGTAAATCAGTCCGGGTCTTATGAGAATGTTGGTTTCATCCGTACGGATCTGCACAACCATATTCAAGCCGAACGTAGAGCAGAAGTTGAGGATGGTGATGCGCAGGGTGCGTTGGTTTACCTATGCGCAAAACTTGATGTTGATGCACGTTTTTTTTACAAGTATGATGTGCGTAACGATAACAAGTTACAAAATCTGTTCTGGGCAGATTCAAAATCGCGGGCTGACTACGCAAAGTTTGGTGATGTGTTGATATTTGACTCAACTTACAGAACCAATGCATACAAGAAACCATTTGTCATGTTGGCTGGTGTGACTAGCCACTTTAGGACCACGATATTTGCATGTGTTTTGCTAGCTAATGAGACAATTGAGACACACACATGGGTTTTGGAAACATTTATGGAGGCGATGGGAAATAAAGCACCTGTGTCCGTACTGACAGATGGGGATAAGGCGATGCGAGAGGCAATCAGAAGAGTATTTCCAGATGCAAGACATCGATTATGTAATTGGCATCTTGGGAAAAATGCTGTTTCAAATGTTCACATAAGTGGCTTTGCACATGCTTTCAAGCAGTGCATGGACATGGAAACGGATGAGACAAAGTTTGAGCATGGCTAGACGACAATGGTCGAAAAATTTGGACTTCAAACCAACAATTGGGTGTTGGAGACATATGAGAAGCATCATATGTGGGCTGAGGCATATATGCCTAAATTTATATTTTTCAAATTTTAAGCGTGATTATCCTAATTTTTTTTTGTATGAAAGTTGAAGTAATAATTTCACTCGTTTTTTATACTATTCAATTTGAGATCAATTTTCTATAGGGTCATGCTTAAGTGTGCAACCCCCTTAAGGTTGCACACCATATGCAACCCAATTGTTAGTTTAGATTACAATAATTGATCAAAACCATTGAATTGTTTAAACGTGAAAAAGTTGAAACCGGGGCAACCGGTTAATGCTTGTATTTGCATGATTGCATCCCACTCACTCTCTCTATTTCGTCTCTATCTCTCTCTGTTCTCCTCTGTGTGTAAGGTTGAGTCAGTGTAACCCTTGATTTCCATTAACAGCAAGAAGCCTGTGCTGGATTGGTTCCATTGACGAAGCTTTGTAGGGAACAGTATAACGGGCGATTTCCAACAACAACAGAACTACAAGGCTGTGTTGGTTCCATTGCTGAAGTGAAGCCCTTCTCTCGAACTAGATA